CTGTAGAAAGGATAAAACTTTTCTGAAATGACAGTTTTCAGTTAGAAATCTGTTTACATTTTCCCCGAGTTCCAAAGCGTTACCCAACTTCAGCAATGACTTGCTCTTTGGCAAGCTCTTTTGAACAAGACTGAGATTTGTACCCGAGGCAGAGACAGATTCTTCAGCAAGTTCCCAGGCATTGACTCTGCATGTGAGCTGGTGTAAATATAAATTTTAGTGCCTTTGAAACTCTGTTAAGGGATAGGTTAAATGGTTGGTGTTACTATGTTAGTTGGTTAAATATTAAATAGATTTTTATTCATTGTCTCGTTTGTAGAGTGCCTGGGAAGGTTACAGGTGATACATGCTAGAAGAGAAAGAGTTAAAATTTGTATTTTCCACGGATGTTTCCTATTTTCTGGTTAGTTTCTTTGCAATCTTCCTGCGATTAACCAAAATCTCTAGAGTAGATGATAATGTATTTCTTGTGCTCCCTTCTGAAATATGTGTTGAATCTTATCTGGTTGAGAATTCTCTCTATTCTTGTCTTTTTAAAACAATTGTATTATGACTATGTATTCTGGCATGGTCTTTAATCTGTTTGAGTATTCCTCTCATCCCTGAAAAATGCATAAGTTTTTCTGGCACCCATCCTTTGCAATTGTCTGTGAACAATGAAGCAAAGGGTTTTAATTTTTATAGGCATTTTTTAATAGCAGCAGTGGAAAATCTAACTGGACTATCGTGACATGTAGACTTCATTCTGCATCTTCAGTCGTGTTTTCTCTGAGCGTTCTGCCCAGAAAGAAATATCCTTTTAATATGAGGCAGCATTCAGAGATTTGACTGGAATTGTTGTGCAGATTAAAAAGCTTAGATGATTCATGTAAATAACTTCAGGCTTGTTAGCCTCCTAAACTCATTAACAGTATTTTCATGTGGACTGTTACTCTGATGTATATATGCTTTAGTAAAGCTAAACAATGCTGTAACTTGAGCTGTCATCTTGGAACAGTGAAGGGGAGGATGTGATTTCTTCACCACTGACTGGGAAAACAGCAGCTCAGTTTGATGTCTTTTTTCTACTTTGAAATATCAAATTCCCTTTGATTCTAGCCCTTTTGTTTTAATGGGCAAATATCGTACTGCTAGTTTGGATCTTGAACTCTTTGCTAAGTATTAAGTTCTGGCTATGGCAGTTACGTATGCCTAACTTTATTAGTTATGCACAAATCTTTGATTTCAAGGAGTCTTTGCAGAGTAGAAAGCTTGCATTTGGTCTGTGTAATTGCAGTTATAAACTTCATTTCTTTATGCTGCAGATATTGTTCACTTGCTTCTCTTTGTGGTGCTAGGTATTTGTTTTCTTGAATGGGTTATAATTTTGTCAGCTCCCTAGTTGAAGTGATATTGATCACACCTTTTTTTTCCCCCTCACTTCTGATACAAATTGTGTCTAATTTATAACACCTACACTAAGATCTCAAATGGCAGGCACAAATCTTTTCATATATGAGTTGATGACTCATGTTGTAGAGGCTAAACCCATTGAATTAGGTGTGGCTGCAGCAGAAGCATCTCCTTTGCATGGAATGTTCCAGCTCGGCTGGTGTTTGGGATGTTTATGTGTGTGTCTTGAACAGGAAGGCCCCAGGCAACTGAAAAATCTGCCATAAGATGACTCACAATATTATGAGAGAAGGTAGAGTCATCATCTTTTACTTAAAGTGCATTTAATTTAATTTGTTCTCAACTATATGTAAAACCATGTCATAGTGTTCTGCAAATTGCTATGAGATGTATTTATAATATATGATAAATAGCTTCTACAAAACTTGTGTGTTTTCTTTTTAGCATTAAAAATGAAAAAGTTTGCCAAGACAAATGATGCTTTTAAATGTGTTTACTTCAATTAAAACCATTAAATGTGATGAGTATCCTTCCAATGGACAACTGCAGCTTAAGCAGTTGGCATTTCAGGATTCACAGGTACTAAAGATATTGGCAGATATTTGTGGGCCTTTGTAATACAGCCCCACAACACTCACTGCACACAGTCTGTGCTCAGTAATACCAGATTCCCTTGATCCTTCAGAGGAGGATGGTGATCTGTGATCACAGCACTGAAATCCACATTCACATGCTCAGTTGCAAATTCCCATGTACCCAGTTAGTGGACAGGTACCTCTGCAAGCTTACAGCAGATAAAATGGACTTTTATTTTTATTCAAAATAATGAGAAAACTTTCTTAAGCGAAGGAACAGTGTGGCAATCAGTGATTTCTTGAACCATGTATTTGGATGCATTTTTATGGATCTAAAAAGGTCTTGTATTGAGCTCTGGGAAGTAAGCTGCTTTTCCTGTGGCTTTGCAATGCATCCTTCTACTATTTGGGAGAAGGAAAGAGAGAAGCCCTAAGCCCTTCCCATGGCAAGTTTCAGCTGCTTTTGCGTTCAAATCCTAATACCCATCTTTGCCCTTTATAAGCCACCAGTGGGCTTGGTCTCAGTCAGCTGGTCATCCTTCTGTCTGCTTCAAAACCCAAAGGCAAACCCTATCTAGACAGAGAGAAATGCTGTCCTCTTTAATGTGTTCTGGAAGATCAAGACTTTAGATAAACACAGACCAGTTAATCTAGGTTGGTATACTATGTGTTAAGTGTATAACTAACTGAAAACAGCAGTGTTGGCTGCAGATTTCCTTTTTTTTTAAGGGGAGTTGGAATAAACCCTGTGGTGGTAGAAGTTGCAGGCGTGGAAAGTATGTTTAAAATCAGGGGAGGCTTCTCACAGAGCTGGCTTTTCTTCAGCTGGGGCGGTGGAGCTACAACACAAATATAAAATGATCTGTCACACAACAGCAGTTGTTTTTATTGATTTTTACTAGTATGACAGTGAGGAAAACCTTACTGCTTCGTCTAAGTGAAAATTTTATTCTAAGGAGGTAGTCTTGTCAGTGTCTCTGCAGCTTGCAGCCCATTTTCTGAGAATAGCAATGGATTTACAGAAGCTTGTCCTTTCTTGTTCAGAGAGCTGGCAATTGAACAGGCAATGTAAGTGATTCTTGTGCCTTTTTGATCAAGTGTGAAATAAGTGTAAAGAAGGCAGATGAAATAAAATAAGCAAGCCAACGGCATACACGTGGAGAAACCAGCTTCTCATGTCAAAACTGTGCTGTGAAAACAATCTTTATTACCTATACTACCTCCATTTTTGTGTCTGAAATAGGAGACTGGAGTGTTCTGTTTCCTTTTCTAGTACTGTCTTTTATTTTCCAGGGATTTTTTGTGCTGCTAAGAGCAACGAATGATATTAGTTTCTTTGCACTGAAATGCAGAGAAGAATGGCATGAACTTGATCATGCTCCTGCTAAGAATATTGGAATTGGAAAGTCCCACTGGTTTAGGAGGATAATGTTTCTTTTTATACTGCTTCAGTTTTATTACTAACGGTTCTTTCAAGAAATAATAGGTGCAGTATTATCATCTGTCTTGTAGACCTGTCTTCTAAAGAACACAAGGAAAACAGTTACTCTAATTGGCTGAAGGAAATACAATTTTATTTACCAGCACCCTTGTAGTTAATCCAAAGACAAGCTTGTATTGAATTTCCCAAAGTTAATACCATTTTGTGACTGAGGGAATTTGGGGTGTTTCCAATTAAATGTTATGGTTCGTTTTGAACGATGTGCTATTTGACAGTTTTATTTCTCTGTGTTGTAATTATTTAAACTTTCTGCTAGGTAAAACTGAGAAAATAGTTTCTTTAGAAACAAAAATGAGAAAATTTGACTGAATTGTTCGCTAAAGCTTTTGTCATTTTTTTTCTTTTGTGGTTTTGTTTTAGGACTTTTTTTAGTGTGGGTCTGGTTTTCAGTAGAGTAGGATTTCAGTAGCAAAGGTTTCAGAGCCTTGTGACTCTAGTTGGCTTCAGTGACGTGAGGTTTTGCTGAGCATCTTTGAAAATCCCTTCTCCCTTTTAGTTGTTACTGCTAAGAGGATTCCCAGTGGTGAGACAGTAACATGCTCTGCCCTAAGAATCACAAGATCTAAAAGCCAAGTACCACATAAAAAACCCTAAAGGACAATGCTAATTTTGAAGTTTCATGTTGGTTTAAAACATTCGTGATGTTGGTACAGGATAATACTTATGGAGCTTAAAAAATGTTTATAGGTAAGGTTGGCTTAAGGCTAGTATTCCATTAAAACAAGAGCGTTGTGGCTGGCAGTGGATTTTAGCAGGATGAAGGTGTGAAGGTGTAAGTGCGTGGAGCTGAGAGCTGTCTACAAGAGAACTGGCAGCAATGTTTATCTGAAATCAGTTTCTTTAGTGCAGTTTGAACAGAATTCTTAGAAGCCCTGTGAGCCTGGTCTAGTGTGAGATGTCCCTGCTCATGGCAGAGGGGTTGGAACTGGGTGATCCTTAAGGTCCCTTCCAGCCCTGACAGATTCTGATCTGTTTTAGCAGAAGACTTAGTAGTGTTGCTTTGCTGGTTGGGCTTGATGATCTTAAAGGTCTTTTCCAGTTTAAAGGATTCTATGATTCTATGTTTTTGTGACCGGCCTTGTTTCTGTATGGATTCTGACATGGGCTGAAGAGTTTGATGCAGGATGACTAAAAACTTGTAGAGGCAATAGAAATGAACTTCTGCATGTAAATGAGTCCTAAGAGAACAGCAACGTGAACTTCCATAAGGGCAGTGGAAAGGACAAGGTGAAACAATACAATGGCAGTGCACATAAATAAATATGAATAAGAAAATAGATATTTTAAAAAATATAAAGGATGGCTAGAAGCTTTATCTTATAGGTAGGAACTGACAGTGTTGTAGTTGCCTGCTGCTTGTGTTTATCCTGTAGCACTGACCTCAGCTTGTTCACACAATTTTAATAAAATCTTTTTGTAATGAAAACTCTATTGCTGTTATCCCTCTGTGCTTTTGGTTTGATTTACTAATACAGCAGTGATTTAAAACTGGTAAAGAGTTGTAACCATATGTTCCTGTTTTTATTTGACAGGCCGGACCTGATAGACATGAGTACTGTTGCTGTTCAAAGCAACCTTGCAAATTTAGAACATGCTTTTTTTGTAGCCGAAAAACTTGGTGTTGCCAGACTTCTGGATCCTGAAGGTAAGAGAGCTGCAAAGGGCTTTGTCGCAAAACCCCTAACATTGGACTAAAAACCAAACTGGTTGTAGCAGATCTGTGGGCGTTCTTACAACCATGTTATAAAGCACTGTTCTGTCTTGCCCTTTTAGATGTTGACGTTTCCTCACCTGATGAGAAGTCAGTAATAACTTACGTGTCATCACTTTATGATGCGTTTCCCAAAGTACCAGAAGGTGGTGAAGGCATTGGTGCAAATGTAAGTAGGAGAAAATACTTGGGTGGTACACGAGCTTCATTCCTACAGTTCTTGATTTCAGCTCCGGAATGCTAGCTGGATCTTCCATAGGGCTGCCGTCACGCTTTTCTTTGACATGATTTTGTACATTGAGATTTTAGAGGCTCAGCAGCTGTTTCGTGTTCTAAACATGAAAATATTCATGCGAAGAGCTTAACTACAACCAATATAGCTGAAGTTGGAGAAAGATGAGTCTCCTTCTCTGGAAACTTTCAAAACCCATCTAGACCCAACTACTAGAAGATCTCCATACATCCCTTCCAACCCCTACCATTCTGTGATTCTTTGAAAGTTCTTACTTTTCAGTCATGGACCTATAAATTGTACCTCTCTAATTCTTATAAATTTTGAGTGTATTAAACTATAAAACTTTGTGGTTTAAGTGAAATTACTTGGGATCAAAACTGTAGAGTGAAATCATATGTTTGGAAGCTTTAAGCGAGCTGTAATGAGCGAGTAAATACTGTTTCAGAATTGCAGGTTTAGAAATCTCTTTTCCTTGTGTGTAAAGACCTCATACTTCAAAGATTAAGCAAAAGTGAGCTCAAATTTTTTCCTCTGATCTGTAATCTGGGTTGTGCTTTTGTAGGATGTTGAAGTCAAATGGATTGAATATCAGAATATGGTGAACTACCTCATGCAGTGGATCAGACACCATGTTGCAACAATGTCTGACAGAACTTTTCCCAATAATCCTGTGGAATTGAAGGTGAGGTGTGGTGTCTTAAACTCCTTGTTGGAATGACATTTTATCTGACTGGCTCAGAGCATGCTTGAACAAATAGAAGTGCTTGTTGATTTATACAGTCAAATCAACAGTGTTACTCCTTAACCTTTTCAAAGTACAATAAATACATTACTAACGTATGAATAATCAAAAGCAAATCTTTAGCTTGTCACTGATTGTTTTTTGTGGAACTCAAGTAGAAGAGTGTAAGAACATAAGCTTATGAAGGATATGAGGAGAGGCTCTAGAGACTAAGGTTGTAGTCACCGGAAGTGAAAACTGACGATGGTTTTTATGTTTCTGTAGGCACTTTATAATCAGTATTTACAGTTTAAAGAAACAGACATTCCACCAAAGGAAACAGATAAATCAAAAATTAAACACCTATATAAACTACTAGAGGTAAGTTTTAACATGCATTGAAATGTATAGGAATCCCCTTTCTGTGGCTTAAAATAACAAGTATGTATGAATTATTAAGGTCTGGATAGAATTTGGACGCATCAAACTTCCTCAAGGCTACCATCCAAATGATATAGAAAAAGAATGGGGAAAGCTTATTATTGCCATGCTGGAAAGAGAGAGGACCCTTCGGCCTGAACTGGAGAGGTACACTAGTGAATGTTTGGCATGCCTGGTTAAGATATTTTCTGTTGTTTTAACCCCTAATGGAAATTGTAAATGTCATCTTCCATGATAACATCTGCATTATTTTTCTAGATGAAGTAATTCTGCCTTTGATCAAGACCTGAATTCTTTACCTGCTTCATAGAAGCAGGTCCAGGTGGAAATAACTTTGATGGCCTCAGAAGGTCATGATGAATGATATCCATGTCTCAGATCATCAAAGCACTTAAACACAAATACAGCTGCCTTCTTTGTAAAGTTACACAGAGCTAGGCTCATAGCACTTCGCTGTCTCACTTGGACTTGATTCCATAGAAGGATCCTTTCTTTATGTGAAATGGAAAGGATTGAGCACAGCTTTGTAGGCTAACGTCCTGTTCCGAGGTTTTTTAAGTTGGTTGTACTTGAGAGCACAAAGCATTCAGACATGCAAAGTTCCTAGTAGTGTTCTATGGCAGCAGAATGTGAGACACTGTTTTGTACATCAATAGGAACATACTGAATGTGTTAAAAATCTTGATGCAGTCTTAGAGCTTTTCTGCTTTGCAGTGGTACCTCAGTTCTGTGGCAGACACAGGTTCTACTGTTAATTTTAATCTAAGTAAATTCATTAATTTAACAACCCTTTTATTTAACTCCTAAGTCTGGGCTTCTGCCTGCAGGTGCATATAGACACCTGGGTCTGGACTCATTCTGCTTAACTTTAAGTGTCCACAAGAGGAGACACCTTAGATCTGAATTGCCATCTAGAGAATCCTAGCACGGACTTTCTAGTGCCAGCAAAGTGATCATTGTATCTGTTTTGCATACCTGAAATGAGGTGTAAAGAATCCAGACCGCTGTGTAGGAATTCCTCAGAAAGACAGATTTTAGTCAGAGAAGATCCTAAAGATAGGCAGTGTTGATTTAAATATGTCGTGCTTACAAAAGCAAGAGCATGACTGAAGCGGCAGATTTAGTGAGAGGTGTTGAAGTTCCTAGAGAGGAATACAAAGTTGTCCCCCCCCATGCCAAGCAGAATGCTGGAAAGCAGCAGCAGAATTACAGCCTGCTAGATCTTACGGGTTAATCTATCCTGATCTGCCAAAAGCAAAGTTAGGGCCTGCCAAAAAAAATTCTACTAGTACTTGCAGAAAGCTGGGTTGTCTTTGGTGAGAATGTCTGTAAATGACATCAGTTTGTTTCTTTTTCATTCAGATGGGCTGTTAATTTTATTCAGAGCATAGGTAAAGAAACAGAAACTCCTTCCTGTATTCCAGGATTGGTAAACACATTTAAAGTGACAGATCGTATGGTGGTGGTCACTGTAAAATGGGAGAAGAGTTAAGTGATTCTGGCTTAGCAATCAAGTTAAAATTGTTGGTTGATCTGGACACAAGAACTTGATCCGTGTTTGTTGTCTTGGTTACTAGTGCATCTCACTAATACAAGGTGTCAATACAGCTCTCGGGGTGAGATTTGGTTGTGGCAAAAATGTGACCTCGGCTAATACTGAAATTTGGCAAGTACTAAAACTTGACTGCAAGTCTGATGAAGACATCGGAAGGTATCTACACTGATAAACAACGTGGTGGCCAGATCGGTGTATGGGATCAAAATGAATGTGATGTCAGTGAAGAGAGTGCCAAACTGAGCTCTGCTTTGCAAAACAAGGAGTTTGGCAT